CAGAATCAGTACCTCCCTGAAGACTCCAGGCAGGAGAAACAGGAATTTGGAAATGAATAAGAGGAGGAAAGAAGCAGATAAGGATAGAACCTTTACAAGTAGCTCTTACTAAAAGCACACCTTTGCTTATTGCTGAATTTAATTCCTAGGAAAACGTAAGACAGAAACTTTTTTATTGTCTGCACTTTACAGCCCACTGAAAAGTCCACCCAAGCTAAGAGACTCATGTACATTCCCTCAGTGAATGAATGGGAGGCCCAGGAACCCACCTGCAGGCAGAGAGGTAGTGACCAGCATTGGGCAGGGCTGAGAGGAGTGACTTAGACCTTCAGGGCAGCAGGCACTTGAAGTTCAAGTCCCAGGCCTACCACCAGCTGTGTTCCTGATCAGATCCCTTAATCTCCCTAAGCTTGTTTCCTCATCTGTGAAATGAGGATCGTGGCATTTCGTGAATGTTTATTCCTCATTCTTATGCAGGTGTCACGTTCTGCTGGTGTTTTGTCCTCAGACCTTAGTGAGTTGGGAGCTGCTCACTCTCCTGTTTACCAGATTTACTTTGCTCAAATCTAGTCTGGAAATGTGTTTATCTTTGTATGCCCCTCTGTGCCTTTCAGATACTAGGGAAAGGGAGGGGAAAAAAAAAACTTGTTAAATGAGAGAATAAGGAAGCTTTCCTTGAACTGTCTACATTTTCCCCGGCCTTATTTTCTCCAATGAAAAAGTGACAATCAAGCAGGGCATGGTGCCAATGCCTGTAATCCCACCTTCTCAGGAGACTGAGGCAGGAGGATTGCAAGTTCAAGGTCAGTCTCAGCAATTTAGCAAGGATCTAAGCAACTTAGTGAGACCCTATTTCTGAATAAATAAATAAATAAATAGATAGATAAATAGATAGGGCTGGGGATGTGGCTCAGTGGTTAAGCACCCCTGGGTTCAATCCGTACTGCAAAGCTAAAAACAAAAACAAACAAGCAAACAAAAAACTACCGTCATGGTCCCTCTCCTAAAACCATAAGCATTTTGGGCAGAAAGAAAACAAAGAACAAAGTACTTTGGCCCCTTGAAAAACAGGATGCTTTTCAAGGCATAACCATAGCACATCACACATAATCTGTGAAGCCCTAATGCACGTCTGAACAGGTGGGAGAGTGAGAGGAGAGGGGAACTTGGACTCAGGTGCCCTTGCAAAAGTGCTGTTCTCTCTTCCCCTCTTAGCAGGCCTACAAAGTGGGCGCAATTGTGTTCTTTTTCAGATGGGAAACCTGAAACTCAGCTAGGGTAAGCAGCTTATCTGATTGTCTGATTCCAAAGCCTAATCTGTCCCTAGAATGCCGTATCAACTCTCGTGGGACAATTCCACTTACATTTTCCTCCCTGCGTAGAGCTGTCCCTCTAGAAAAACTTCTCTGAGTTCTTCTCAGCAAAACCTAGACAATGCCACGAGCCCTTGAAGCTGCATTTGGAAATTCCACAAGCCCTTAGTTGTGAGCTTTTCGAAAGAGCACCCTCTGATGCTGCTGTCTGACAGGGGACACCATTTGGGAGCGGCTGGAGAGCAGCAGAGCGACTGGGCCAGCCTGGTCCTTCTGGTTCCCAAACCTGACAGGACTGTTCGCTCTTGCGCAGACTTCAGCTAGCTCAATGCATGACCCGTGCCAACTGCAGAAACTTTGGAGGAATATCTAACCAGAGTCAAGCTCCTAAGGAGACAGAGATGACTCAAGGCAGATTTGCTCCCCATTCCTTATTCCCAGGGAGAGTATTCATTATGCCTGGTTCTTCCTTCATCTTTTTATGCCCTGGGGAGTATTTTAAAAGCAGTGACATTTTAGGCTTTTAGCAAGCAGATGTCAAAGACTGAGATGTGTGAGAAGGAGATAGAAAATGGATAGTTTACTGCCACTCTAGGCCAAAGTACAGAAGAGAAGTGCCTGCATCACAGCGTGGAAATGACATGCTCCAGTCTCCTGCTGTACCATGGGAGCAAGCGCCACATATCTTGGTGGATTTCTCCTGATTTCTCTGTGTCACAGTCTGATCTGGCTTTATAAGGAAGCTTGGGGAAATCTCCCGTCCGTGCACAACTCTCATCTAAACACATAGGTGGTTAAATTTCAGAACAGCGAGTGGCACACGCCTGTAATCCTGGCTACTCAGGAGGCTGAGGCAGGACCATCACAAGTTCAAGGACAACTTCAGCAACTTAACGAGACTCTGTCTCAAAATAAAAAGTAAAAGGGTCTGAGGATATAGCATAGTGGTAAAGCTATATCAATCCTCAGTACTTCAAAACAAAATGTAACAAAACCTCAAATCTCTTGGACAAGATATTCTCTCTCCTTCTCAAGATGTAAATTGTTCAAAAAGATCTCTTTATTTGGCTTTGAAATCTGATTCAAGTTCAGGGCTGTGATAAATTGCTGATAACTCTAAATTATCCTTAATGATAATATACATTTGATAATTTTTAGTCTTTAAAAAGCAACCAACCACAGGTTGCCAAACTTATACAATATACAATATTGTACAATATATAATAATCTCAATCATGCAAAAAGTCCACACCTGTAGAATCAAATATGCATTAAAATTAACAAAAATAATTTGGTTACCAGTTTCAGTTATTCTCATATCATAAAAATTACAGGCTATTTTTATTCTTTATACTTTTTCATTTTCCATTTTCTTCATAATAAGCATAGAATTATCTTTATACTCAGGAAGAAAGATTATATGGAAAAAGCCAAGTTACCTCTGCAGCTATGGACATCACCTATTATAAATTCAGATATTTAATAGGAAATTTAAGATGTGAAAGAACAGAAAAATTTCAGATTTTGAGAAAGAAGATTTGAAAGAAGACAAGGAGCTTATTGTTTTATTGTATTCTTCAGCAGACGTCCAGGAGTTATTTGCATCTGATTTTTCTTTTAATAGTAGTGGAGGCAGAACTCAACATACAAATCTTGAATATTTTGGGGTTTAATCCCCAGCACACGCGCGCGCGCGCACACACACACACACACACACACACACACACAATGCCATAAGTAATATTGGAGACACCATTAAATGTGTTGCCAATCTCTGAGAATCCAAGTCAAGTCAATGATTCTGAACGTTGGAGGGTAGAAAAATATTGACCTAAGGGACATCTCAAGTTCTCTCTTAGTGATGCCCCGATCCTGCAGGTTCACTGGGAGCAGCAGAAGCACCCAATCCTGGAATGGCTGGCCCCAGTTCCACGCAGCTGTTCCATTGACCAGTTGACACTGGGCAGTTCTCACAGCCTCACAGGCACCTCTACACTTGTTTATAGACGATGTGGGGCCCCAGATCTACCATTCTGTTTTCCCTGGCTAAGAATGGCATGACTCAAAGTCCAAGACTGCCACCACCCCAACTCTAATGTCCAACCAGGCCACTCCTTCCCTGGAATAGCCACTCAACCCCTGTGCAAGTGGGGTTTCCTCATCCCTGGGTTTCAGGTATCCTCCCTCGGAAGATGTTGCAAGGACTGACTAATGCACATTAGTGTCCCAATAACAATGATATGCAGTGCAGGTGCTGGGAGTTCCACAGCCACAATAGCACTGTGGTGACCGCAAAGCCACCTTTGTGTCTTGAATCTGGGCTTTCCATCCTACCATTTGGGGTTCCAGCTTAAGTCTCAGATGATGTCACTTTCCCCAGGGACTGGAAAGCATTCACTAGGATAGATGGATATGGCTAGTTTTACATAGTAGGGGAAGTCCATTCTTAGGAAGCCAGGAGTGCCTTCTTCAGCGTACCCCTCAAAGCACAACCCCAGGGGGTTGTTATTTTCTTTCCTTTTTGCAGTGCTGCAGATCAAAGGCAGGGCCTGAGGCCACGGAGCTACACCCCTCCGTTGTAGCCCTGAGATTATCTTTCCCAGAAACCACTGAAAACATTGCCAACTCTAAAGTTTCCTCCTTTAACCCAGAGAAGACGAATCCTCAGGTTTTGTCTTGTTTTTAACATTCCTAGTTAGCTCCTGAGAGTCCTGTCCTGGTTTCAGGCAGCGCAGGATTCATCCCGCGAAGTCAGCAGCTTTATTTTCCGTATGTATGTAGCTAGGCATGTATGTATGGTGCTGGGGACTAAATTCTAAAATAAATAGGACTGGGCTAGTTAGACCTCACTCGTTGTCCTGAAATTGAACGCAATTTTATTCATTAATTTATTTGGGTGTTGGGGACTGAACCCGAGCGCACGCCGCAAACCCTCTATGGTTGATCCGCACCTCCAGCCCAATCCTAGTAGCTTTATATCCTCTCCACACACAGCGCAATTCGGGAGGTGGGTTTTTCTGGGTAACGAGTGACAAGCTCGCGCCCACACGGACGGGAAAAGCCGCTCCTCTCCCAGGTGTGTGTCCCGAGCATCTGAACCTGTTGCGTTGCTCTCCACAGGTCAGCCCCGTCTGTCCGGCACGGGCCTGGGAAACACCCGCAAGCAGGTGTTTTCCGGAGACCCGTGCGGGTGCCCGGCGGCCGTGAGGTGGGGGTGGGAGGCGGCGGCAGCTGGAGGGCGGAGTCGCCGCGCGCGGGGAATCCTTTCCCGGCTTCTGCCTCGCGGAGTCGTCTTCACTCGCGGTGGGCCCCGCTGCATCGTGGGGCTGGAGACCGGGCCAAGCTCTCCGGCACCACCCAGAGGCCCAGCCCGCGCGCATCGGGCTCGGGGAAGCTTCGCCGGGTCTGGCCGGGACCACGTCCCCTCTCCGCCGAGGCCCAGACGGAGCCCAGCGCCTGCTACTCGAGCCGCTGGCCCCGGCCCGGCGCGACCGCGGGAGGCAGGCGGCCCGTATGCAAATGTCCCGCGGGGGCCGGGGGACGCCTCCAGCGCCCGGGATAAAAGGCGGAGTGAGGCGCGCGGGGCCGCAGAAGTCGCTGCCTCCCGGGAGCCTGCCGTGCGCTCAGGCCCCCGCGCCCCTGCCCGCAGCCCCGACAGCGCGGTCCTCCCCGCGGCCCCCGGTAAGGACGCGCGGCAGCGCAGACACCAGGCGAGGAGGTGGGCCAGAGGCGCCGACGCCGCGATTGCGGCACCGCCCCGGGCGACCCACGTCCCCCAGGTCGGGACGCGCCTCCGTGCGCCCCAGGGACCCTAGTCCGCGCTTTCTCACTGGGAACTTGGGAAGCCGACTCCCACACCGCGCTCTCCCGGACTGAGCAGGTGGCATCTCCCTAGGTGCCGCTCTGGGACAGTTTGTCCCCAGGCCATTGGCAGTGAAGACGGAAAGAACTGCGTTTGGTCAGGGTTAGGAGGGACTAAGAGGATCTCAGGCTGGAGTGAGTGGGAGTCAGGAGAAAAAGGCCGGGGGGCCCCCGATAGTCCATGTTATTCTCCTGTTTTCCCCCCAGAAGTCCCGGGACGCTCGGGAGGCAACGGGCCCAGAGAACCCGTGAGGGGGACCGTGTGGGTGAGTGGGTACGCGTTTGAATGAGCCCCTGCGCTGCCCTGAAACTGCGAGTTACTCAGCCCTGCGGAGTCCTCACCTCCTCTAGTCAAAAAAGTCCTGCTCCGCAGCCCCCTTCCTCCTTCTTATTTTAAAAAAGAAGAGACCTTCTAAAGTCTGTTTTTTTGTTTTTAATTTTTTTTTTGTACCGGGATTCAACTCAGGGGGCACTTGATCACTGAGCCACATCCCCTACCCCTTCCCCCTTTGTATTTTATTTAGAGACAGAATCTCACTGAGTTACTTAGCTCTTCGCTAAGTTGCTGAGGCTGGCTTTGAACTTGGTATCCTTCTGCCTCAGCCTCCTGAGTTGCTGGGATTACAGGCGTTCATGCCAACAGGCACTGGCCTAAAGTTTTTGAAGCTAATACCAAACTCAAGGTTGGTGGTTAATCTGGGATTTGTGATGGCTCCTTCCTTCATCCACCCATGCTGCACCCGCAAGATGCAATGTGTGAGGAAGAAAAATATCCCAGAGAGCACCCAAGTCTGACTGTCTGTCCCCCCAGTTTATGATGGCAGGCAGCAGTTGTGACCCAGGTCCTGGGGAGAGTGAAGGAACCAGCCCTCCTGCTTAAAACCAGTCAGGGCCACGTGGGGATGAGAGCCTGTGAGTCTCCTGAGGGCTTCTCTGGAGGAGATAAGCACATTGCTTCGTTCCTAAGGGTGCCTTTGGAGCTAGACTCTGAACTACAAGGTCAAAGAGACAAGGAATGAGAAACAGGAAAAGTGACGGATCCAGAGAGGATTAATTCTGAAGGCAGGGAGTGGTGACAAGTAGAGACATCTGACACATCTCTCCTCCTGTTTCTGTTTGTGTGCGTTTGTCTTGGTTCTAGACAGTGACTGGGAAACAGAAGACTGGAAACATGTCCGAGTTTTGGTTGATTTCGGCCCCTGGTGATAAGGAGAATTTACAAGCGCTGGAGAGGATGAATACAGTAACCTCCAAGTCTAACCTGTCCTACAACACCAAATTTGCTATACCTGACTTCAAGGTGAAATTCCTGGGGAGGGGAAAGGAGATGGTGGACTGGTGGGCAGGAAGCAGCCTCTGGGGAATGAAGGAGAAAATAACAGGTCAAAGTGGGGACATTGAGGACAAGCCTGAGCTAGGGGATAGATAGGGGAGTCGGTGGGCTCCGTGGGTCTTCAGGCCATGGCTCCAAACTAATTGTGGCACCTTGGCCTTGAAGCCCCAGGAGAGAATGAGAAGAGAGAGATGGTGGCGGTGGCAGGATCTAATGCTTCATATAAGTGGGAAGAACCTGTGAATAGCAGGTCCTCACCCATGGTCCTGGGGACCTTCCTGTTTTGTCTGCAACATCTAAGAAGACCAACCACAGACTTGGGGTGTTCCGGCTTGCAGGCCTCAGGCCTCAATTGTACTCCTGACCTAGGGGAAGGGCAGGAAATCCAGGATCTTTCTGATTTTGTTGGGGGGGAGACACTCTGTACAGACAGCTGGCAGAGTGGCAGAGGTTTGGGGTAGTGCACAGTGTCTGAGAGCTCTTGTAGTGGACAGCAAAATGAAGATAAAAAGGGTAAAGAGGAGGAAGATATATACAATCCTCAAAAACAGTGGACTTGGGCTGGTGGTGTGGCTCAGTGGTAGAAGGTTGGCCTGGCACGTGAAGTCTTAGGTTTGATCCTTAGCACCACACATAAACAGAACACAGACTGGCAGTATTTCCTAAGACTGTAGGTTTCCAAGGGGAAGAGGTAGCTAAAGAATTCCTTGGGACCACACCAATGTACACACACTGAGGGTGCCAACCACCCAGAGTCCTTATAATCAATCCTCTTCCAATCCTCAGTTTGCCCCTCTGCCAAAAGAGTGCACTGTCACCCTGAGTTGTTGGTGATGCTGCTCCATGTGCCAGCATTTATTGAGCAATGTGCTGGCAGCCAGGCCCTGTAAACAGAAGATTCCTTGTGGAGTCTTCGAGGCTCCCCCTGACAAGGTTGGGATGGGCTGAGAGAAGCTTAGTGACTGCTAGGTTGTGGGGCTGGCAAGTGGCAGGTGGGGTTCTGTATCCAGGTCTTACTGCTTCTTCAAGCCTGCCTCTGTTAACCCTGGGGACAGACACTGTAGAGGTTAGTGAATCCAGCCTCCACTCATTTACTGAGCAGGGCACCGTGCTAGACTCTGGAGGATACAAAGTTAAAAAATGACATGGCCCTACTAAAAGTTGCTTAAAACTAAGTTGCTTGCATGTCTATAATCCCAGAGACTTGGGAGGCTGAGGCAGGAGGATCTCAAGTTCAAGGGTGACCTCAGCAATTTAGCAAGAACCTGCCTCAAAATTTTAGAAAAAGGTATGTAGCTCAGTGGTGAAGTGCTCCTGGGTTAAATCCTCAGCACCCTTTGCCCTCAAGAATTAATTGTTTTGAAAATAATCAACTTCACCAATATCCAGTGGAGATTTTCAGGCTTCATCAAAGATTTATTAGTTTTTAAATTTGGGGGATTCTGGGGACTTAGTGCAGGGCCTTGCTCATGCTAAGCATGTGCTCCACCATGGAGCCATGCCCCCAGCCCTCCCTAATTGCTTTTAAAGTCTGGTTGGTCTAATCACAGGATGGCAAACCTTTTCTTTCTGATTCTGTGAAAAGACCTTTCAATACAATTTTGTGGACCTTGCACTCATTTCCGCACTAAGAGACAGGTCATGAATAATCCACAAAGAAAAGGGCCTCGAGGGGATGTAGCTTAGGTAGAGTGCTTGCCTCACACAGGGCCTAGGTTCTGTCTCCAATATCGAAGAGAAACAAAAACAAAAGAAAGAAAAGGACCAGTTACAAATGAGTGGGAAGAAAAGCTGCTCCCTTCTAATCAAGATCAATGTCAATAGCAGCCAAGGACAGAGAAAGGGATGGCGGTCCTGTCTTAGGGAAGAAAGGCCTTTAGAAAGGAAAATTTGTTACAGTTGCTGGGGATTCATCTCATGAACAGCAGACTGCCTCTCTCAGAGGGAAATGAGCTCAGGTCAGCCCAGGACGTAATAGTCCTTCCGATGGTGGAGATATGACAGTTTATCCTGTTGGTCCCCAAAATAACATAAAAATCCTAAATCCCTGGGTTTCCCTTAGGAGTTCTTCCCACTTCTCAGTTGGGCTGTTGGCCAGGAGCAGCCAACTCCAGATCAAGGCAGAGTGCCTCACACTGCTCTTGAAGTGACAGCCACGCCTCTCTGCCAGCCAGCACTAATTATTTTATGATCTTTCTAGGTGGGGACCTTGGATACTCTTGTTGGTCTCTCTGACGAGTTGGGGAAACTCGATACCTTTGCTGAAAGGTAAAATATTTCTTATTTACTACATACAAGTGAGAATTTGGCATTGTTGTCAGAGGACACAGTGTTCTTGCTTTGGCTGAATCAAAGTATGGACTCATACTCTAAACCTGGCTCCAAAAGTCAACAGAGTGATCAGGTGGGTCCCCTGGGGGAGTGGGGTCAGCAGGAGCATGCTGGGCCCATCCTTGCTTTGTTTGCCGGAAAAAGCATCTTTTCTTTTCTTTTCTTTTTTTTTTTTTTTGGTACCAGGGACTGAACCCAGGGGTGCTTAACCACTGAGTCCCATCCCCAGACCTTTTAATGTTTTATTTTGAGACAGGGTCTCTCTAAGTTGCTTAGGGCCTTGCTAAGTTGCTGAAGCTGGCTTTGAATCTGATCCTCCTGCCTCAGTCTCCTGATCTGCTGGGATTACAGGCGGGCCCCACCACCAGCTAGAAGGCAGCATCCTATAAGGGATTGCCTTCAGTATGAAGATCATGCATAAAGCTGAGTCACGTAGAAAAATAATTGGTGCAATTCCCCTCAAGGGTTAAGTTTGTTGGTTTTTTGATAACATATGTTTAAAAAAAGTACAAAAAAGAAAGAATGTAGAGTGAAAGTTAAGTTTCCCTCTGATGTGTTTTCCTCTTCCCTGTCCCCTGTCCCCTCATTCCCCTCTTCTGAGGCAGTGCTATGACTTTCTAGGCAAACCTTCCAGAGAAAGCCTATTTGAGCACAAGTCAACATGCATGTGTTTCATATGTACTCTCATAAAGTGCAAACAACTGTGTCTTGCTTTTTTGTTTAATAGCATAGCTTAGACATAGTTCCATGTCAGTTCATTGCTGCACATTCTTTTTACTAGCTGTATGGCCTTAAATAGATGTACCCTCATTTATTTGATTTCTCTGTTGTTGGATGTTTGAATTTTCTAGTCTTTTGCTATCACAGGCAGGGTGGTGATGACTGTCCTTTGTGCACATGTAGAAGTGGAACACTTAAAAGTGGTAGTTCTGGGTCAAAGAGTTTTTGCAAGGACAGCTTACAGATATGTCCCCAGTGCCCTGCCAAGAAGTTGTTCATTCCATTCACACGCTCACCAAAAGTGTATGAAATATCATACGGTCTTAGCATGACATTTCTTTTAAATAAGTTTATTACAAATTTGGTGCATAATCACTGGGAATCAGTTATAGCTCATAGAATAGTGTGAAAAAGAAACTACAACTCACCCATGATCACATATCCAGAGACAAACACTGTTACATTGTGTTTATAGCCTGTACCTCCAATTTTCCCAGCACATATATTATTTGTGTGTGTGTATATATATATATACACTAATAAAAGTAAGCCCATATTATATACCTCATACGTGTAAACCCATATTTTGCTGTTCTCTTCATATTTTAGATTTTTTTATGTATTGAGGGTTGAACCCAGGAGCACTTGACCACTGAGCCACATCCCCAGCCCTTTTTTTTTTTTTTTAAATTTTGAGACAGGGACTTGCTAAGTTGCAAGGCCTTGCTGGTTACTGAGGCTGACTTTGAACTCTTGATCCTCCTGCCTCAGCCTCCCAAGCTGCTGGAATTATAGGTGTGCACCACTGTGCCTGGCAAAAATCATTTTTTAAACTTAAAGTCTTTGAACTGTAGAAATTGGTACTGTGGATTGAATTTGGGGCACTTTACTGCTAACTTACATCCCCCACATCCCCAGTCTTTTTTTTTTTTCTTTTTTTAAAAAATTTTGAGACAGGGTTTTGCTAAATTGCTCAGAGCCTTTTAAGTTGCTGAGGCTGGCTTTGATCCTGCAAGCCTGCCTCAGCCTCCTGAGTTTCTGGGATTACAGGTGTGCACCATTGCACCTGGTGCATAGGTCATAGTCTTTGAGAAAGAAAACCAACTTTGTCTTCCTCATCTATAAAGCGAGGTACAGTGACCATCTCTCTGCTTTCAGGGAGGAATGTAGGGCAGTAGAATAAAATTCCTGGGCATGTCCTGTGAAAAATCACCATCCAGGAGATGTGGCTGGATTCCCAAGTGCCAGCTCCTGTCTGTGGCTGCTCTGTTCCTGAGGTCTGATGAGCCTTCTGTAGCAAGAGGACAGATGCTAGTCAGATCTTCAAATCGGGGGACCCCAAGCCTAAGCAAGGGCTCTGACAGATGCCATCGAGGGCAGCCCCTGCCCTTGGCTGGGATGGCCTTCCGTGTTCCCTGCCAGCTCTGACAGACCACAGGCTGACCAAGAGGCTCTTCATCCTCGGCAGAAACACCAGCTGAAGGAAGGTGAGCTGCTCCATGGCAGCTGCTCAGCTCTGTGGTCTCAGCCCTCAGTGGTGCCCTTCTCTCCTTCCGTCCCACTCACCAGTGCCCCCAGCTCTGAGCTTCTGTGGGCCTGGATTATTGCTGTTGGTTCCACCTGAGTTAGTTAGTTAGTTAGTTTCTTTCTTTCTTCTTCTTTTCTTTTTCTGATTGCCTTTTTCTTCCCAATAGACAGTTGTGTTTTGTTCTGTACGTATTTGTTGTACGAGTTGCCTCTGATGGTTTTATAGCATATTTGTTTATTGTTGTTGTTTGTTGTTTTTGGAAATGAGGTGAACCCAGAGGTACATAACCATTAAGCCACATCCCTAGCCTTTTTTATTTTGAGACAGGGTCTCACTAAGTTGCTTGGGGACCTCTCTAAGTTGCTAAGGCTGGTCTTGAACTTGCAATCCTCCCGCCTCAGCCTCCTGAGCCTCTGGGATTATAGGCATGCGCCACCACACCCAGCATGGTGTAGCATATGCTTAAAAAAAAAAAAAAAAACTAGAAAATGCATGCACAAGCAAGTCGTGAGCTCTCGTTTTGAAACACAGAAACTGTACAAATGAGAGTGTTTTTACAAACAGGGACTAGGTGTGGTCGAGAATGAAAATCACTGTGCGCTATTTTGAGTTTTGCTTGTAGGTGTGAATTCCCAAGAGCTTTCCTATCAGGGGAAAAAGAAAAATAGTGAGGTTTGAGTGCCCTTAGAGTTCTGGCTTTGCTCTGGTCCAGAGCCTGGAACTTTGCTCTAGTCCAGGTCCATTTGGGAACAACCTCCCTGGCTCCGTGGAAAGTGCTCCAGTGTGATTAGATAAATAAACCCCAGCTGGGCCTGTAACCTAGGCAGCATAAACCTGTCAGCACTGCTTCTGCCCAGGAGGACAGAGAAGGGACAAGAGTTTTCAAGGTGTATTGTTTCCCTATCCTTTTATTATTTATTTACCGGGGACTGGAGTGTTTTTCCATGTAGCTGGAAGGCAGCCTTGGCTTATGGAGCTTTCCCTTTATTTTTTTATTTATTCTTTCATGCCACTGTGTTAATTTATTCTGTATTTGCATGGGGATTCATGAACATTTGAGAAGCCTAGTGCTTTTATCTTTTAAAATCTCCCCCCGGCCCCCCGCACCGCCCCAACCTTTCAGCATGTGAGTCTGTCCCAACATTGTGGCCTGTCCTGCTGCGGTCCTGGTTGAAATATTACATTTCACAGGCACTTGGCATTCAGCTATGCCTCCTGGTTTCTCTGGGGCCATGTTGACTGCCCCCTGTCCCTGAGCGCGTTGCCTGTGGTGTGGAATAGCTGGTGGCTTTTTCTTTACCCACGTGGTTCGTGAAGCTGTCTGAGGGTTGGCTGATCAAAGATCACGGATCTGAGTGTGGATGTCCACTTGGTGATGCCAGTGAGTTCTTGTGGGGACCTTCTAAATAGGAGTGAGATGGAACGGAAAGAAGTGCCCAGGCTTCTCTTCTCTGTCCATGCAGAATATCAGGTTGAGGTTATCTGTGGACATTTCAGACCTGTCCTGCACCTGCCCGTCCACCTGCCCCCCTGACACGTCTCCCATCTCCTCCCCATGCCTCAGGACCTCCTGCTCGCCTTCTCCAAGCAGAGTGCCGCTCCGCTCCCTCCTCCACGGCCCTCACCCCCAGGGACAGGCCTGAGAGAGGCAGTCTAAGGCCATCCTCTGACCCCATTCTGCTCTCTGCTTCTGTGAGTTAAACTGTTTTAGATTCCACCTGGGAGGGAGGAGAGGCTGTCCTCCTTTCTCTGTCCTTGTGCTGTTCACCATGGCATGTGCTAGCCACCGGGCTCAGCGGAGCTCTTGAAATGTGACCAGTCTGAACGCAGATGTGTGTCAAACACACGTCAGGTTCAAAAGACAGTACTGGAAAAATGACTTCAAATATCTTATTATTCTTTTTAATGTTAACTGCCTGTTAAAATGATAATATTTTGGATATTAGATGAAATAAAGTAGGTTGCTAAAATTAATTTCACCTGTTTTTTCTTTTGGAAATGTAGTGATTAGAAGTTCTCGAAATACTTTTGTGGCTCCTGTAATATTTGTGTTGGGCAGCACTGGGCTATAACTCTGAGTGTTTCTCAACCTTGAACATGTAAGTGAGTGCCCTGGGGATCTTTAGACAACGTGGTTGTGACTCAGGGGATCTGAAGCCTGGGATTCTGCATTTCTTACCATGTTGCTGGCCTGCAGACTGCACTTGGCTTACCAAGGCTCAACACTTTAAATTAGTGGCTCTTCAACTTCAATGTGCGTCCGAATCATCTGGAAGGTTTGTTAGAGCATCCATTCCTGGGCCTCATCCCTAGAATTTGTTATTCTGAGGGGCCTGAGAATCGGATTCTCTAAGTTCCCCAGGTGGCAGTGCTGCTGGTCCTGGCTGAGCTTCCAACGGCTTCTTCACCTGATGGTGGGGCCATCTGTTTCCCCATGGCCCAAAAGATGTCGTTACGACATGTGCATTTTTAGAACTGGTTCTTGGATGATACAAAATTTTCCAGTTCTGTTGGTGTGTTGATTTTCTCTTGGGGAAGGAGTACTGATATGGGTATATTGTGTTTTTGGAGAGAAGAGTCAGTTTCATGAGCCTTTTTCAGGTTATTTGCATGGAGTCTATCAGGGTCTGCTGTAGCTGCACATTTCCCGTTGGTTTTGGTCTTTGCATTTCCTTTGGTTATGCTACCC